TACAAAATACATCATACTTTTAAATTAGGGTTGAAAAAATTCAGTTCTGGACGGCCGGTCTCCTACAGATTTTAGCTCCAAATTGCCTCAACACACCTGCACGGATGTTTCTAGAAAGCCTAGTAGGAGCTTGATTAGCTAGCGCAGCTGTGTCTGATTGGGGTTGGAACTAAACTTTGCAGGACACTGGCCCTCCAGGAACGAGTTTGGCCACCCCTGTTTTAAATTAACTAACTATACTTGAAAACAAACTTTTTTTTTGGTTTTGTGATCTGTACAAAACGAACATGATGTACAGTCAGTCCTGTCAAATGCACATCACATGACAGCCACTACTCAAAGCCCACAAACTTGTAAACAAAGAGTTGCTTTCATTTCTGGAGGAGATTCGCCAACAAGACCAAGTTGTGGATTACTTATGAAGACCACCACTATCTGACGATCATTGCTCAGAGGATGATAATAAATAACATGGCCAAAAATGAGGTTGGTGTCGTGATCTCGTTTCTCTTGAGTGCGCATGCGCATTAGCTCGGTGACCTGAAATAAAACGTAGATTTTGTTTGATTGGAACTCCTAGAAACAACTTACGCGACAGTTGTTGTTAATTAAATTTTATTGGTGTTTTCAAATATATAATGTAAACGTAGGCTTGGCAAACAGTTTAGGAGAATTTGATGTTTCCCCATTCAGACAGAATACCCAAGCATACTGCCCAAGAGGCGTTTCAAAGATGACCGCTGAGTGAAATGACTTGCCTTAAAGGGTTTCTGACAGTAGTATTTTGTGGCTGTCTGAACTAATTGATTATATGACTCTGTACAATAGAAAAGCAACCTGAACAAATGATTCTTCCACAGCTTAGAGCATGTTTATAACTGTATTTATGGTGTAAATCATTTTCTGTGTTCACACTAATTTTAAAGACACTGCAGTTGGATAATTATAATTTACAAGTCAGGTGATTTCTTAGTTCCTTTACCATAAAGCCTACACACCGGGTGTGGTCTGTCATTCATATTGACGACATGAATGTTTTAAACATCCATTGTGCCATAATGCTTCCTGAGAAAGGCTGCTCAAGTCTGTGCGTCGTGTGGTTAAGGTCACATCCACCTCACATCATGACTCAGACTCAGCGGGACATTTTGAAACAGGTTGGACTGGCCACGTTCAACTGGGCAGGTTCATACACCTGGATGGCATCCAAACATGTAGCATGCTAAAAATCCAGGACATAAAAGACAGACAAGATCCCACAAGTGACAAATGACACAATCAAAAGCGAAACAACTTGATGCCACTCAATTCATATACCAGAGCCAACACAACACATCTTGTCTTAAAAAACAATAAATGATTAGCTTAAAAGTGCAATCTAACACAATAAAGCTAGCTCAAAAGTTACAGGCTGATAACATTTCAAAGTAAAGAGGAGGGCTGGCATGTATCCAAGCAGGTCACAGATATCCCAATATAGGGAGATGAGCATTAAAGCAGGCCGCACTGCTCCTCAGTTGGCAGAGGATACAAGTTGATATGAATTCATCTTCACTGCTGCATACGCTGCCGATGGGCAGAGGCAGAACGCTGAGAAACACAATACAACTACAAAGACAACAGGACAGTTTAAGAGAAGAACTTGAGTTGGAGATAGAAATATTCATATTCCCATCTCTCCTCCCATGCTGGATTTTGATTAGTTTCTATAATTCCTGCAGCCCGGAAATAGTTGAAGCTCGCCAAATTGTAAAAGAATCTCATAGAGCCCACACATTTTCCATACAGACTGGAAAACCGGTGCGTCTGTTATTCAGATTTTCCTGTTTCTTTATAATACTAAAACGCTGTTCAAAAATAAATCAAACAAAATAAATAAAATCACCACTGACATTCTTTCCACAATATATGCATGATATTCCTATCTCGTCTGATTTCCATTGAAACTGTAACTAAACAGCAACAAAACAACATGCTCTTATGTAACATGTGAAAGTAAATGCGTCTTTAAAAAAAAAAAAAAAAGTAAAATGTGACTTCTAAAAACCTTCTTAAAGATAGTTCATCTAAGACTCCCCCTCAAATGGATATAAACCTGTTATGAGTTTCTTGATTTGATGAACAAAAAAAAGATATAGGAAAGCTAGAAAAATTAATACCATGAAAGTCAAGGATTACAGAATTCATGCTTTCTTCAAAATTTCTTCTTTTGTAAACAGAAGAAAGAAGCTGAAAGGTTTGAAACAAGTGAAAAGTGAGTAAATGATGATAATTTCCATTTTTGGGGTGAATAATTCCTTTAAATGGGATAATATTATTAATAAATAATAATATTTTGCCAAATTCAGTCTAAAATATGCCACGATTGGCATTTTATCTATGCAAATTCTCTGATATTCAATATCATGAATTCTTCTGATATTAAGAAATCAGCATTGACTCTGACCTAAGATAGCTAGACGTGTGCTTAAACTTGAATCAATGCATATGTAAAAGGATAATAATATAAAAATACTACAGCTATGGAAACAAAATCTAGAGGGTATGTGTAGTGCCTGATTAGGCAGATGCCAACATCACCAGACTTCATTGAGTACTATTTCTAGTGAATGAATATTTGTCTTCCTCTGTCCCCCTTAAAGTCTTTGCAGTGTAGCGTGTAGTAAATCCAGGAAGGCAGCTGGAAGTCATCGTTAATTCAACTTTCCATGAATCCCTGAGATACAGGGGAAACTCAAGATGAGAAACACATGTGAGAAGAATGGAGACAGGGCTGCCAGTTGAACTGATAAAACGAGAATAGGAAAAGTTCAAGCCTGATCCAAACCCCCACGCTGACCACGTCTGTGCAGGATCAGGGGGCTAGAGAGGGCAGAAGGGCTGCTGACGTGACTGAACTGAGGCGGATGAGGGCAATGACAGTGCCACTGCTAATCCTTATGGTATGATCACTAGTGAAAGAATCTGACCTCAGGTCAGAAGTTCAGCACTTATGTGGATGATTTATCACCGGGACGCTGATTTTAATGGCACGAGGAAAGAAAATTAGCCACTTCTCAAATTGCACGTTTAATTGCTAGTAGTTTAGGTTTTATCTCTGTAGTAGATCTGGTTGATGACAGAGAAGTAGTAGAGCTAGAAATGATGGCAAAGTGATTCAAAGGGCAAGGTTTTAAGTAGGAGGTTCGATTGCACTGTGATCTGCTTTGCATTACTGTGCAAGCAGTTAAATAAATGAATATGAATCTAGCTGAGGGATGGGAAGTATTTATGATACAAGTACTTCAAATACGCTTTTTAAATACAAAATAGTATTTTATCATTTGCATTAGATAGGGTTGATGAAAACGGCTTAATATTTCGTATCAAGATACTTTAGTGTCTTGTATTTTAGTATTTTAAAATACTTAGTAAGAAGTCTACATGATTACATAATAAAAATGCATCCTCTGATTGGTGCTTTATCAATTATTTGCCAAGGCTTGAGATCAGAACAGAAAACGTATTAATATTGAAGAAGGGTGTCAATGAATGGAGTATGAATGGAAATTGTGCAGCAACAAAAACACCTAAAGATGGTGTACTGGTTTATGCTAAGGGGATGGAAACACAAAGAGATACAGTACTATGTTTCAACTCATTATATGCATTACATGTTTTTTTTTCCAGTTTTTAAAGAGATCATCTTCAAGACAGGACTTTCTGTTTGAAATTTGTACAAAATTTATACTAAAAATATACCACCTGACCCAGCCTGAACACAAACCAGCGACCTTCTTGCTCAAAAAGTAACTAAGGTTTCTGAATACCTACTCAGGTAATTTTCTCTCAAAGGAGTAAGGTTTACGAGGTGTGGACAAGCTGACTTAAATTTTGCTGCTGTCAAACATTGTTTGCTTACCTAATTCTGTTTAATAGTGAAGAGATTGATCAAACATGCCTATTGAAGGTTTGCGAAGAAACTTCATGCTCCCTTGTAAAAGTGTTTTATAGTATTTTTCAAAATACAAAATACAGTATTTTATTTTGATACATTTGTGGCTGCTGTACTTTGTAGATTATTTTGATACATGTAAAAATTAGCTATTTGGTATTTTACTTTAAAATACATTTCAATGTTTTTTTGCACATCCCTGATCTAGCGGATTAGATGTAACTGTTTACCAAAGCTACACATGTATGCAAAATCATTCAAATGTGTTGTTTTGAGAAGATATTGTACTTGCACTGTTGGTTGGTTTGGAGTCTGGTGTCAGCCAATTAAACAAACAAATACAAATCTAACTGAATACCTGTTTACTAGAAATATTATTAACAAAGTTACAAAAGTCACTAAAATGTTTCGTCATTTTATGGGGTTTTAGAGATGCCTCAAATTAACTGCAATTTGCTTTTAGTGCCAGAAGACTAAATAAATAAAGTAAAAGTAAAGCCAAGCATTAAGTTTGTAAAGCATCAAGTAAATTTAGAAAAGCTAAATAAAACACTATGAACTTAGAGTAAAGTACCCTGTAGTTGATAACAAACACACACACACACACACACACACACACACACACACACACACACACACACACACACACACACACACACATACATACATACATACATATATATATATATATATGCCACAACTTGCAATTTCACATCTCTTATAACATTTCAAATAGTATTTTAAGATATAGCCTACATGTATACAGTATATGAATGTTTCTTTATGCATATTTTCTTATCTATTATTCCATCTGAAAGTGAATGAAGGCTGGTTAATCTGAAAGTAAGAGTCATTTTCCAACTGTAGAGAGTTTCATGAAGAAACTCTTCAGCCAGTTTAAATGCTACAGTATAAAAGAAATTCACATTCAGGCTTATCCACAAACAAATGACCCTCAATGAATGGGAAAACACTCATGAAAAGTCATGCAATAAACCGAATTCCAGCACATTTACACACATCATGTGACAACACAGACTTTTCTCACGGCCAGTTTTCAACTTACCTGCTTGAAATCGGCCACAAAAGTGATCAGAGTCCCGTCCCCCTGTTTAAACTCCACGGTGATGGAGTCCTTCTCGCTGTCCGCCTCCAGAAGTTCATCCGTGATCTGTCCATCGGTCAAGCGGACCCTCACCTTCAGCTCAGACGCAGACCCGCGAGCTACCGACAACACCGTGAGCACTAAAACCACAAGAGTTAACCGAACTGAACCCGACCAAATCCACCACGCAAACATTCCAGATGATCCTAAAACCCAAAGCGCGAGTTCAGAAGCACTATCCACGGGAATAACAGTCGACTCATTCCACGAGACCCCCTCAAAACATCACAGCGGCTCCACTTACACAACTTCACCCATATTTTGTGGAAGCTGGATACACCAACGAATTCATAAAGTATTTTAAAGCCGGTCTAGAGCCTCCTCACGTCTGGTAAATAAACATTGGGGAGAGTGGAGTACGGAGCGTCACGCACGGAGTAATCTGCTGTTTTCACTCGCCTCGCGCCTCTCATTGAGGGAACTTTGATTCGGGAGCTCACGCTGACTCGTGTTCATGCCTCTACTGACGAGTGCCTTCATTCAGCTCTTCACGCTGACTTCTGTCTTAGTTTCTGTTTTTTCTGCTCTTGAGTTTTTCTTCTCTCTCTCTCTCTCTCTCTCTCTCTCTCTCTCTCTCTCTCTCTCTCTCTCTCTCTCTCTCCTAGTAATGCGGATTCGTCACTTCCTTCATTATCCAAAGTGCAGCACCCAGCAGTCCAACGGCCTCCCAAAGTTTCGCAGGCAGCACTCGGAAACTCTTAAAGGCGTAGCGCCCTCTCAAATAATGAATGTAGACCCTGACCGACAGTACTCATGTAGACAGCTCCACATAAACTTTTCTAGCAGTAGCTGCACTTTTTATACAGTTGGTGATTGATGTAATGCAGATTGAAAAAATCTGCTTATTGAGAGGATACTAAATTTGAAACAAATAATTGTTTTTCATCCCTTCTACCATAAACAAAATAAAATTACAGTGAACATAGCCTAGTAATTTTTTAAAGAAAATAATACATTGAATAGCCTATTCATTAGTATTGGGCAAAGATTAATTGCGATTAGCTAGCTTATTATAACGTTTGACTTATTATGTGTGTATTATATACAGTATAGTTATTATGTGTGTGTGTGTGACAGAAACAAATACAAAACAATTTTTACAAAGGTATTTCAATTTATATATAATTTGTATCATACAAATACACTACAAGTCAAAAGTTTGGGGTCAGTTTTTTTTTTTTTTAATAAAACTATTCTGTTCATCAAGGCGTTATTTGTTAAATGTAAAAAAATATATGTGAAATATTTATTAACATTTTTAAATAACTGCTTTTTTATTGTATGTAGTTTCAAATGAAATAATGACTCTAGTCATTATTGATTTTATTACTATTACTATTAATAAAAATAACAAAAATAATACTAATTTATATAAGAGTGATTTCTGATGGATCAAGTGACTCTGAAGGCTGGGGTAATAAAGCTTAAAATTAATCATTAAAATCACTGGAATGAATTATTCAATTAAATAACAATTATTTTATAGTGCAATAACATTTCACAATTGTATAATTTGTACTGTATTATTGTTTAAATAAATGCAGCCTTGGTGAGCAGGAGAAACTTATTTTAAAACATTTAAAAATCATACTGACCCCAAACTTTTATAACGATAGCGTACATATCTTATATTTAAATGTAAATAAACATTTTCTCAAGTATATGCTTTCATGTGTGTATTTATATGTATAATACATATACACAGTACACACACCTGCAGTGGAAGTCAGAATTATTAGCCCCCCTGTTTATTTTTTCCCCCAATTAGTGAGATTATTTTCAACACATTTCTAATCATAATAGTTTTAATAACTAATTTCTAATAACTGATTTATTTCATCTTTGACATGATGACAGTAAATAATATTTGACTAGATATTTTTCAAGACACTTCTACAGCTTAAAGTCAAATTTAAAGGCTTAACTAGGATAGGGTAATAAGGCAAGTTATTGTATAACAATGGTTTGTTCTGTAGACTATCGAATAATATATAGCTTAAAGGTGCTAAATCATTTTGACCCTAAAATGATTTTTAAAAAAATTAAAAACTGCTTTTATTCTAGCCAAAATAAAACAAATAATACTTTTTAAAATATTAAAAATATGTCAAATTCAAAGGCAGGGCTAACAATTCTGACTTTATCTGTAAATTATGTTAAAACAAACTTTTATTTTGGATGTTATCAATCACAATTAATATTGCACAACACACATATATATGTGAAATTGTATGATATGATTTTACAAAATATTTATAATACTTAATTTGTGGGTCACTAAAAATGTAATCAAATTCAAAATCTCATTTATCATCATTTACTCACCCTTGACTTGTTCCAAAACAGTTTGACATTTGTTGTTCTCTTGAATGCAAAGCTGTAATCATTGACATCCATTGGAAGAGAAATATATACTGTGGAAGTGAATGGTTGCAGGTTTCCAAAATTTTTCAAAAGATTTCTTTTTGTGTTCGACAGAAAAAAGAAAACCATCTAATTTAAATTAAATGAGCATATTTAATGTAATTTTAATTAAATAAAATTGACATTTATATAATGTATTAGGATATTTATGTTATATTATTTTCATTTATGCACAGAATATTATTTTTAATTTTTTTATCTTCAAAGTTTTTAAAGGCTACTTTTGTGTGTTTTACAAAAGGTTTATTTTGAAAACAATTTAAAAACATAAATATTTTTAATGTTTGTTGTGTTCAAAATATTTAGATTGTTTTAAAAATGCATTTGTTCACAAGATGAGTCCAGCCACCATTTAGTTTCTAGGTTTCCTGTTTGTGTTTATTTGGGATAATTCACAACATTAAAGACAAAATGTACTAATTAAACTGAACATGAAATATCTGTGTGTTTAATTTTCTTCAGTGAAGCATTTGTTTTTTATATTTCATAATGCAGGTTGTCTGTTAATATTTTGTTTCAGTGGAACAAAATACATCTAATATCAAACTGGCTTAAGTTAATGCTGTCTGGTAAAGTTAGAGAATATTCTGACAACGTTTAATGTATATCAATATAGCAATTATTGAAGTAGTCAAATAATTTAAGCAAATATTTATGTTTTATATATCTGGATTTTATTATGAAATGGAAACAATGCATTGCAGAACAGTTATGAGAGTTGAACAATTGATGTTTTTCAAAATTCTGTTTCGTTGTATTTACATTTTAATAAAATATATCTGAAACAAATAAATAAAATAGAAATGGGTGTTTTTTCTGTGGAGTTAGTTTTTGCTTTTTAAAGAAAACTTAAATGGGTAAAATATTTGAATGCATTTATGGAAATAAAGAAAAAACAGTAAAATCTAGTTGGCTATTCTATAAAAATATATTCTAAAATCCAGATAAGACTAAATGTGTGTATAATAGGAAAATACAAATTAATTAATTATTATCTTATCATATTCAGTTGCAAATGACATCAGATACTCTTTGTGATTTATTTAAATATCCAAACGTCAGTTGTTTTACATTTCTCACAAAAAAAAACTATTGTCAAACCGAAATATTTATCTAAAACATTAAAAACTTACATTTCATTGACCTTAAAACATTTTTGCACTTCATGTTTTACCATCTGTGAAAAGTAAATCTTTGCCTTCTTTTCTTTGATTGGCCACATTAGTCATATTAGCATTAATAAACCTGAACAATTAACATTTTCACATTTTCACAGGGGGGAGATTTATGCCATTTGTAATTATTACACTCCTATTTATTGATTGTTCTAATGTGGGTGTTCAATTGAACAGTTTGCAGTTTTTTTTGCATTCTGACTTTCCAATACATTCAATTAGGATATGAATCTGAGCTCTAACCCTTCTAGAATAATAATCTCCATTCATTATACGTGGCATATTTCACAGCGGGTTGCACACTACTGAGCAGAGATCCTCCAGCTGTGGCCCGTCAGAGCTCTTATTCCCAGGTGATGTGTGTCTTGCTGGGTGGCCTAAGTGTATGTTGGCTCCTCAGGGAGCATATCATCGCTGGGCAACATGCACTGGAAAGCTTCACTGGAGGAGAAAGCAAACATACAGCCTGTGGTCTCGAGCAAACACTGTCAGCTGGGTCAGGACACTGGTCAATACAGGTGACAGATTAGAGTGAAGTCCAGGTAAACATGTCCTTTTGTGACTGGCTGAACTAAAGCATTTAGAGGTTTAGAGAAGCGTCTTACTACAGTTTGACCAGCTGTGACTTCATTTTTGTATGTTTGCATTATTTTACTATGATACACATTAGCTCTGCACTCTATAAGTAAATTTTGGTCAAATGTGGATAAAGCCTAAAAATGATAAATTTTTTTCATCATTTACTCATCTCCCACTTGTTCTAGACCAGTTTCTACTGAAGAATGCTGAGAAAAAAAACAGCATTTGACTTCCAGAGTATTTTTTGTTCCTACTATGAATGTCAATGGCTGTTTTTACAGGCCCGTAGCCACCCTGATGAAAGGGGTGTTTTTTTTTTTTTTCTCAAAAAGTGGACCTTTTTGCGATTAAGGGCCTCATTTGGGCTACTGTTTAATTATGAGATTTAAATACTGCATTTTAGTGACATTTAAAGCACTATTTTAGCTGAAATAGATTGTCGAATGTTCATCATAAACAAAAATGTACATTTGAAATTCATGGATAACAACAACAGCCAAAATAGTTCATTTATTCATTCATTTCTTTTCTTTTCAGCTTAGTCCCTTTATTAATCTGGGATCGCCACGGCGGAATAAACCATCAACTTATCCAGCACATATTTTACACAGTGGATGCCCTTCCAGCTGTAATCCTGGGAAACACTCATACACTTTCATTCACACTATTGCACTATGGACAATTTAGCCTACCCAATTCACATATACAGCATGTCTTTGGACTGTGGGGGAAACTGAAGCACCAGGAGGAAACCTATGCGAACGAGGGGAAAACATGCAAACTCCACACAGAAACACCAACTGACCCAGCCGAGGCTCGAACCAGCGACCTTCTTGCTGTGAGGCGACAGCACTACCTACTGTGCCATCGCGTCTCCTTAGCCAAAATAGGATTCAAATTAAATTAAAATAGGCCGTTTTTGTAGCCTCACAGCTTATTGCTCATTTTTTTCTTTCAAGATTAAGGTCCAAGATTTAGAAAAAAAGTTACTTGTAAAATATTTTCTCTATTTAAAATTAATACCGTAGTGATTGTATGTTTTCTTGCACAGCTGGATGGTGAACTCCAAAAAATAATTGTGTGCATTGGCCAAAACTGATTAGCTTAAGTCACCACAGCCAACAGAGGATACCACTTAGTCTTAAAACATTTTTCAATGGGTTATTCTAACTATTTATGATGGCATAGCAGTCAAAATAGGACAACTTGAGTGTAGAGATTTTTGTTTGTTTTGGGGTGACCAATCACTTTAAATTTATTGCCTCTAGACCAGATATTGTCCTCTGGTATAGGCACCAAACCGGTGGTGCGTATAGAACTAACAATACCCTGGGAGGAAAGGATGGAGAAGGCCTATGAACACAAGCTAAAGAAACATCAAGGTCTCAGAATTGAGAGCCATGAGAATGGATGGAGGGCCTGGAATTTACCAGTAGAGGTTGGTTGTAGGGGGTTTGTAGGGCAGTCACTCT